AGCCACTCACAGCGCCCGCAGGGCGAGCCAGCGACGCCCCCCGCACGCGCGCGCTCGCGCACACACACGTACACACCCGCTCTTACACACGCGCGCGCTCCGGCCGGGGCAGCCTGGCCCCACGCGGGACGCCGGCCACGTTCAAGGCGCCCCGGGTCTCCCTGTGCTTGCCGGGGATGCTTGCAGCCCCGCCTGGCGCCGGGTCCTGTATCCTCTCCCTGGCACCCCCACCCCCGGCTTGCTCAGGACCCTCCAGAATATGAGGAGAGGGGGGTCCCGGCGAGCGGGGGGCTCGTGGCTGGCCGTGGAGCAGGGACAAGGCTCTTGGACCCAATGAGCCAGGTCATTCCTTCCTGTCGGTGTCCGGCTCCCGGCTCCGCGGTGTCTGGTTCCCCCTGCCTGCCAGACTGCCAGGGGTGCATTGGTGGCACTGGCAAGGCTTGAGGTGAGTGCCCTCCGCGACTGCCTCTGCACATACTGAGCACCAGCTCCCTAACTGGTACTAAAGCCCTGGGCACCTCTGGGAATAACAGCAAACGGTAACAGGTCAAAGGTAAAAACAGGTGCCCGATGTAACCCAGAAGGAAAAATATCTGCTTTGAATCCCATTTATTTGGCAGGATTACAGGTTTGGTCGATTTGAGGTTGCATAGGGGGATTTGTCTAAGGTATTTGATCTGGTACCACATGATATTTTGATTAAAACCTTCATATGATATGGCTTTAAGAGAGTTCATTGGTATCTCAAAGTGTAGATGATCACCGGGAGATATCCATGAGTTAGGCAGCTCCCCTGGAACCAGGTTTTGCTCAATACTAATTAATAGTTTTTGCAACAAATCTCTGCCAGTTAAGTTCACAAGATTGGTGTTTAAGCAAATGAGGAGGTTACTCTCACAAAGCCATTTGGACCTCTTGGTTAACTGGATAATCCACATGCAAGATAATATGTCCTGGGAACAGGAATGAAGATTCTGCAGACTGGATGGGAGACATTGTCTTGGAAATGGGTGACTTGGAAGAGGATTGAGAAGTCAATAGCTGTAACTGCCTCAGAAGGCACCCTGAATGCAATGCTGTGGCAAAAAACCAACAACCTTGAACATATATAAAAGGAAAAAAACTAAACATATGGAAGTACAAAAGTGATCTTATGTTCACGCACAGTGGTAAGAATCCTGCTAGAATACTGTGTGCAGTTCTGGTATTTTGTGGAAAAATATTAGAAATGAAAGGAGAGCCACAAGAAGGATCCTAGCGCTGGAAAGTCTTACAGTGTGAGACATAAGGAAGTCAACTTATTTACTTTGTCCAAGTGAAAGCTGAAAGTAGTCCCATGTTGGTTGCCCTTGAGCATTACCTCCCATGCTGGGCCCCCGCAGATGTGCTCCTTGATAATTTTCTCAAAGGTCTTCCCAAGGACCAAGGTGAGACTAACTGGCCTATAGTTACTCAGGTCCTCCTTTCTCCCCTTCTTGTAAATGAGGACCACACTGGCCCTTTTCCAGTCCTCTGGGACCTGGCCAGAGCACCACAAGCACTCATACAGCAATGCCAGGGGCCCTGCTATGACCTCTGCCAATTCCCTCGGTATGCTTGGATGAAGAACATCTGGACCTGCTGATTTAAACATGGCCAGCCCCTCCAGTAGTTCCCCAACTAGATTGTCCCTGACCCTAGGCATGGCATCATGTCCCCTGAGCCTGTCTGTAATCCTGGTGGGAGAGTTGTCCCAGTCCCTGCTCAGAAATATGGAGGCAAAAAACTTGTTGAAGAGATCAGCTTTTTCCTTTGCTGCAATCACCGAATTGCCAAGTTTGTCCTGTAGGGGTCCCATGTTACCTGGTGCCTTCTTCTTACTCCCTATGTATTTGAAAAAGGACTTTTTGTTATCCTTAATTGTGGCCACCAACCCTAGTTCCATCTCTGCCTTGGCCTTCCTAACCACCTCCCTGCAATCATGAGCAATGGAGGTGTAATCCTCCTAGGTGATAGCCCCTTGCTTCCACTGATTGTATGCCACCTTTTTTGCCGTCAGGCCCTCCTGGATGCCTTTACTGAGCCAAGGGGGCTTTTTAGCACTCTTGCCCACTTTGGTTTGTGTTGGGACTGACTCCCTCTGAGCTCGGAGGATCATTTCCTTAAGGAACAACCACCTGTGCTGGACTTCCATCTCACTGAGGCTCCGAGTCCCCAATGTCTCTCTTACTAATCTTTGTCTCATTGAAGTCAGCCCGCCTGAAGTCAAGGACTTTTGCCTTACTGCTTGCTTTCACCACTGTGCACCAGATAATAAATTTGTTCTTGAAGTGTGGAGCCTAAAGCCAGACACACTACTCCAGGTGAGTCTTCACTAGTACAGAACAGAGTGGAAGAATCGTTTCCTTTGATTTGCAAGTGATAGTCCCGTTAATACAACCCAGTATGCCGTTGGCCTTGTTTGCAACAAAAACACACTTGTTCTGTGTTATCCTAAGTCCTTCTCTGCAGCACTGCAGCCTAGCCAGTCATTTCCCAGTCTGTATTTATGCATGCGGTTATTCCGTCCCAAGTACGGGACTTGGCACTTGTCCTTGCTGAATATCATTTGCTTGATTGAAGACCACTTTTCCAGCCCATCCAAGCCATTTTGGATCCTGGCCCTACCTTCCAGAACAGTAGTTCTCAACTTTTTTAGACTCAAGGCACCCCTTGGAAAATGGCAGCTCTTAGGACGTTTATAGATGTGCTCTGGGAGGTGTGTGGGGGGTGCTTTAATTAGTAGGCCACGCTAATTAAAATCACCTGAGTGTCACATGTATCAGCATCCCCACATTGAATAAATATCCGACAAGCTTAGGTTCAAAGCACCCCACCACCATTTTTCAGCATGGGGAGGAGATGACCACTGCAATACTGGTCACTGCTCTTGCACTGCCCTTTGTAGAATCCTGGATCCACCCTGGGCACAATTTTGCTTGTTTTATCACTTCAGAACCCCAGCTGTGATAGAGCTCTTTTATTTTATTAGCCATTGCCTATATACACACATCTAAATAGCACCCTTAGCAGAAACTGCTCACTAGACATCTTTATTAAATCATGAATTAATGCTTTTGGATTGATGCACTTATCCAAGCTGGTGCAATAGACCCGGACAGATTGAATCTCTAGATTCTGTAAGAAATGCAATTATGTGAAACCTTTTTAACAAAACCTGCTGAATCATATGTTTCTTTTCCAGAAATAATGTCTTCTAACATAGGTCCCTAACTTTTATGGAGCTCCATATTGTGTCCAATCCATTAGTAAGTTGCAAATTAATCAAACAGGATGACTAAGAGAAAATCTTTCTGCCTTAGAGGTAAAACATACTGTTTCTGAATCTACTTGCTAGGCAGCTCTCTAACAAGCTGCTAGGTAGCTCTCTAACATATCTGTAGCTTTCTTCCTTATTTGTTAATTGTAATGGTACAGTGTATTCGTACTTGAAAAGAGTATCTGAGTGAAGTGGAATCATGACCCAAAAATTCATGAAGACTTCTAAATCTAATTTGTTGACCTAGCTAGTTCCTGGATTTGTGAATATGCTGCTGACTTTTGTTTAGGCCCCTAAATTTATATGAAAGAAAGAAAGGGCATTGTTAAATAATCCAGTTTTAATAGGGGAGATTTTGTGTACATATTGTCAGCAATAAATGTATTTCATTTAAATATTTTCTTATTGTATATTAAATCAAATACAACAGCCCTCTACTGAGAACAAGAACATGGATACAGCCTGGAAATTACAGTGAACCTGACTGATTTGTTTCATTTTCCAAGCTCCATCAAATGCAATAAAATAAAATAAATTTAACAAACAGAAAAAAATGCAGATTTAATTAGATTTTATGTAGGATTTTTGCTTTTTTAACTCTATTGATCCAATGTGGTGCAACCAATGCACTCATGTATATCTCTGAATAAGGAGGTCAAAATCTCAGATCTTCTCAAGTATTACTGACACCCTTTTAT